GGTTCTTAATATTTTAATTTCCGCTGGTGAGATATGGTTTTACCTTTTTATTTGTTGTATAGTCTTTTGTTTTTAGACTATGTATGTTTCTTTTTCAGTTTTGTTAAGTATTGATTGCAATACATACATCATAATATTTTTATGTTTACTAAAAATTATTAAAAATTTTTAATAAATTGCTGCTACTTCAATACACATATATACATGTATATATATATATATATATATATATATATATATATATATATATATATATATATAAAATTACATCATTTTTTTGTAATGTTCTAATTGTTTTACAGTTTACTCCTGATGAAGCTATAAAATAAAATAATCTATTTTATAATGTATTTAATTATAACTGTATAATTTTTTAAATAAAGAATATTAATATTCTAAATTTGTATTAATTTTTATTTGGTAAGGAAAGGTTTTATGAAAGGAATAAACACTTAATTAAAAGGAGGGAAACTCCTTGTACTCAGTAAATACATACTTGGTTAAGTTATCTCAGCAAAGTGAGGGAAAAACTCTCATTTATTTTAAAATTAAAACAAATAAATACATTTTTATAAATAAGACAAAAACATACTATATCTAATATGATATAGGTATTTAATTCTCAAAATAAACAACTTTGAATTGAACAAAGTTTAGATATAAGAAAGATAAAAAATAAAATACTGAAATTATAAAAAAAAAAACAACAAAAGTGTAATCAAGCTAATGATAACCATTCTGACATTTTGAGAAATAAGGTAGAACATACATAATATAAGTATTCAATATTGTATTTACATTATCATGCATAACATTGGTGAATAAAATGTCTCCTAAAATTTAAACCTCATTCCACATCATTAACGTTTCTACAAAGAATATAGATGCTTTTACTACATTAGTATTTTCTAGAAAATCATCATCACTATCATTATTTTCCTGTAAATATATATTGTAAAGTACTGCTGTAGCACTTATTATGCAAGATATGTATTTAATTTGGTTTGTAGGCCTCATTGCAGACAGGGAAACCATATTTTCCAGGTTCCAAATATCCATTTGGCAACATTTCTTACATTATTATATCTATTTTGTTGATCATTGCCTAAAAAGATGTATCTGTCAAATAACCTATTTTTTATTTAGCCAATTAACAATAAATACCTGGCTGTGATACTGGAGTATGTAGATAGTGCCTGCACTGCATACATATTCACTACTCACTATTCATAATAATTCTGGAATTTGTCCCCTTTCCATTCTAACTTTTAATCAATTTTGATCAAATAATAAGCTACCAATACTTGATCCTGTATGTTGAACAACAATATTAATCTCAAAAAATAAAAAAAAATATTGTATTTGAAATTATTCATAAATATAAACAAACAAGTTAGGTTAGGATCCCGTGCTCAAGGCAGGTCGATCCGATGCTTGAATACGAGCTGTCATTTCTGCGTACTCAAGCTCGACTTCGTGCTTGAGAACGGTTTATAGAACACAAATTTGATTCAAGGTCGATCTCAAGTATCGATCGATACTTGAGCATCGTTTATAAATATGGGCCTAAGTGTATTTTAAAGCAATGGCTAGTCGTAAAGCTATTTTAGATAAGACGGTGTCAAAAGGTGCCAAAAAGAAAATTGTTCAGAAAGACCATTGGAAAGAAAATGTGGCAAAATTTAACAACAACATTGGAAACAAATTTTTTGTGGGAAAATGTCTAATAGACAGAGTAGTCAGGAGTATATGTCAATATTTACAGGAAAAGCTGTACAGAGTAGGGTATTTTCTGTTGTCCATAAGTGTTGTATAGAAAAATGTTTTGCAAAAATAACTTTGTAAGATCAAAATATGACCTTTTTATGATAATGGTTCAAAAAAAGAAAAAGACACTCTTCTAGAAGGTTGTATGGCATTAGTGTAGCCTCCAGAAAGGTATAGAAAAATAGAAAATCCCAAAATTAGCAGACAGTATCACTGAAAATACAAGCCTAACACTTCTGGTTGTGATGTGCTCGTGTGTCGTTCCTTTTTTGTTGATTTATATCAAGTAGAAGTGAAGCGTGTAAGAATATTATAGAAAAAAAATATTGAGAAAACTCCAGTTAATGAAAAACATGCACATATTCCGATCGCATTCCATGTAAGAGTGCCCCCTTGTCGTAAATATTATCTTAACTGTTTTAAAACGTTTATCTTTTATTACCAGATGATGTAAAAACCGGATAAATGTATAATTTTTATTTTAACCCGCACATGAGTCGCAAAATATACAGAGTTCTTGCACTTTAAGGGGCAAAATTTTAAAAACAAAATGCCGAAACATGGAGCATACATCATCTGCGCCTTTTTTGCCACAGACTCATCATACGTATAAAAAATTGCTTACTGCGTTGAAAGTACATGAATATTGAAACTAACAAAATTCAGTTAGCTCCGATAGTAGACATCATTAGTCGTAATTTTAGGACACGGCAGGTTTTTTTGAAAGGCCATGGTCACAGCTTCCATCTTGATTGATTTCATGGGACGTTTTCGGTAATTTTTTTTAATGTATAAAAACGCTCATCTCTCTTAAGATGCACCTCTCTTTCTGTTTGTTTTGTTTGCAGACTCTGACTTGTTTCTCCGTTCTCAATGGCAGTTTTAAGTTTCTCCTTAAGCGCTAATATTTGTGATTTAAAGGAATCACATACAGATTGAACGAAATAAATTCGGAACATACGAAATATTATGTATTTCAGCTCAATTTTGCTGTAGGTGGTTGGCCAACAAACGGTTGTCAAATAATTATATTATAAAAATCTTTATAATATAATTATTTATATTATAAAAATACTTCAGCGGGCTGCTGGATTTTGAAATCATAAAAATTGAAACCTACACATAAATCTACAATTTAATTATGCTGTTAAACCAGTTATCGCTTCTTTAGACAAGCACTTCTTTGAGCGGTGTTGTCAACCTCATTCCTTTAGATGTTTCTCAAATAAGGTGTTATCCATAAAATATTTACAAGAAAAAAAAGAAAATAACTACAAACCATTAAGTTTATTTTTGTTATTAGTCTGTTGTAGTAGATTGGTAAATAGAATGAAAAATATAGGTAAATATCCGATTTATTTGAAGATACGAAGAAGATATAACTCTCAAAAAGATCCGCAAATCGGATTATTACGCGGCGATTGGCAACATTGTTATGCAAACAACATTGTTGCAAGACAGATAGTTGAACGATATTTTATACAATGTCTAAACCCAGGTATGGATTTATTTTTGTCCAAGTTTTATATTGGTCCACTATTTCAAATGCAGTTCAAACAGACATATATTAAATTGTATGATCCGTTTTAAATTCGTTCAATCTGTATACTACACGAGTCCTTACGTTGATAACCAAAGGAAAGGTTGAAATTATTCTCAAAAATCACACGAAATGATTTATACGAAATTTTATGTTCTAGATAGTTAGTTAACTACATGGTATGTAGCTTAGAAATATTTAACTCAACAGGAAGGTAAATTTTGTTGGTGTCTTTTAAAGAATAGTGTGATTTTCTTCATTCAAGAGATTTCAAATAAGTAAATACGAGTTGTTTGGTTTCTTGTGAAAGTTTGTGGGGTCTTGTTGAATGTTTTTCACGAGTCAGTGGGAGATTTACTAGCACTAAGTAGAGCACCCCTTATGTACGTAACCTTATCCTCACTAATACCATGAAGCTACATGAACGCTTTTAACCAGACCTGAACATCACATACAACATTGTCTTTTAACAAACGAACTCCATATGAAAATGAAGCCACTTAAATAAGAGTTCTGCTTTTCTCTATCTCTCAGTAGATTATACTCTCGAATGATTCGTTTTCGTGCCTGTTTTGGTATATTCTGAAAGCATTTAAGTCTTTTGCACAAACAATCCGGCCCATGCTCGTGAGACGCTGCTCGCAAATCTCTCATAACATCCCTAACTCGACCTGTTGTTTTTCGTTTCTTACTCATTGGTTTTCTGAACGAGTTATCAGTTTCACTGTAACTGTCTGAGTAGTCATTTTCCATTATTCTTAAACACAGGTACACAAGAAACTGACGAATAACACGCTCTCGACAACAGAAAGAAACAGGTTTCTTGCTGAACAACAACTAACAGGCTGACAATTATATAACGCAAATGTTGTATAATTGTCATTATACAACACGGGGTTCTTGCATACACGCGCATTGACTTACGGTGTTTTTCCCTAGAGCCGCATATTTTCTAACGTGAGTTTTAGTAGATCGACGGTGTTTTATACAAAAGGTAATAAATGTTTAAAAACTATTCGTTTGAAGCCACTGGATAGCGTCATCAGCCCATTTCTTGAAAAAAATTATTAACGGGGTTTTTTTCCTGTGTCCTTCATTTGAAAATATTTTTTCAAAATACGCTTTTAGCAGATAAGCCCTTCTTCTAGCTACCGCCTCAATTATATCTGTCAATTTTTTTATGTATTTTAATTTTAAAACTTTTAAATTAAAGAACTTTTATTTGAACTATTATTCTTTAAAATATAAGAAACATTTTATAGGCAAAATTATTTTTTTACTGTTTATGATCGTTTAAAATAAAACAAAGCAAAATTAGCTGTACGTCTTCAGAGATTTGCCCTTAGCTTTCCCTCTTATACCTTTTCGAACCTTCAAAAACCTGTATAAGATTTTGACAGATTGACTCGGTTATAAGGCAAATAGTAAATTTTAGCAAAATAAATATTCAAAACAGAAGTAAAATCGAGGATTTGAAAATCCTTGTTGAGGACCAACCTCTACTGTTTTCGATTTTATTTTTATTTTCATAAGTATTATAGTGCTAGTTTACTATTATTACAAAAGGCTTTAATAATAGTAAACGGATAATAATGGTAACGAGTAATTTAAGCTATTTTTTTGATATTTTTAGTTGTTTTACAAGCGTGCTTGGCCTTATTTTAATATATTTCTTTTTTCTACCTTCCATTAGGCCAAGGTCCTTCCGTTTTGTCGCCCGGTATCCACAGTTTTCCCTTCAAACTTGGCTTACCACTTGGATTACCCTCGACTTTTCTGGGCAAACATGGATGGGTACAGTACTACTGTAAAACAGCCCTAAGAGAGCCCAATGGACTGACGCATAAAAACCAACAAGTTTTTATAGTGATGAATCCTATAGACTTAAATTTAGAGCCTTCCATATTAGGAGTGAGTATAACCAATTGATACATTTGTGTTAAGCTATTTTTGCACTATGGAATAGTACGGTGTTGCATGTTTATTTTTGTATTGGTTTATTGTATAAAACGTATTGTAAAATACGCGTTTAAATTTAAGAGAAATACAGAAATTTAAGTATACATTGCAGTTACAGTTTCTCGATTTAGGTATTTTTACAATTTTTTTGGTCAGACATTCAAGAAAAAAATTAACTTGGTATAGTATATATGTAGAAGTAAATAACCAGAAAATGCTTGTTAATGGATAATAAGTGTTAATATTTTTTTTCAAAGGTATTAAAATAGTACGTCTAGAAAATAAAAATATGGATTTTTTTGTTTACAATTTGCTTCAACCACACAGGGTTATTAACATTGAACTTTATTTACATGAAATGTGAAAGAGAAAAAAGTTAATATTATATTTGGTTTCTCAGTCCTATGGCACGTAAAAAATTGAGAATTTTTGATGTATTATTTTCACTTATATATTCTTTTTTAACTGTTCGGGTAACTATTGAGGTAACTATTCGGGTAACTGTTGTTATTGTTGTTCTAGTACATAGAGAGTACAGTATATTAATATATTGTACTGTTAGTTTACTATCACACACATAACACATCGGAAAAGGCTCCTTCATTAATATAAAATGATGGGCTATCTTTGTATGTCCAAGTCGCAATTTGGATATGACCACTTGGTCTCTTCTCGTATTAGAAGGTTTTTTGATAGTTCTTAATGTATCTCTCAGTATTTCTGTAATATAGCCGATCTCTCGGCTATATTACAGAAAATATTCATGTTATAACTTTAGGAGAAAAAATTCCTTGTAAAAGTGGTCAAGCTTCTGGGTTAACCGCTAGGGGGCGTAACCTGTGAAGAAAAATTTGAAAACCAGTTTTTTGTGAAATATGCCCAATTATACCAAGTGTTAAATAAGTAAACTAGAAAGAAGCCTAAATTCCGCACAATGTTGTTCAAGTACTTTTTTTTATTTTTTTAAAATAAAGGGTGGGGGAGAGTGGGAAAGTATTTGTGGATAAATACCTATAACTTTGGTTAGGATCAACCGATTTTAACGAAATTAGTGTCATTAGAAATCTCCTATTGATAGCTTTTGTTAAACTCAAGATATGAATTAAAACGCATAAACATAAGTAAGTATAGTATTGACTCAACCTTCATTATAAGTTAAAATTGAATATGTGAAAGATCATACGAAAATCATCATATGGAAATGTGGGTTCATAGACGAATGCTGAAAATATCTTGGACAGCAAGAAAAACTAATGAAGAAGTACTAAGGAGCGTCAACAAAGACAGGGAACTGCTAAAGACTGCTAAACATCGAAAAATGTCTTATCTGGGACATATAGTAAGGGAAGTCGATATAAAATTTTACAACTGGTCCTTAAAGGCAAAATAGAGAGCCGTAGAGGTGTAGGAAGAAAACAAGTTTCTTGGTTAAAAAACATTCGTGAATGGACTCAGATACCAAATGCAGGACAATTATTTCATATTGCAAAAGATCGAGAAGCCTTCGCAATGGTGATCGCCAACGTCGGATAAATCTGATATGGCACGCGAAGAAGAAGAAGAAAGATCATACAAATATCTCGATCATTAAAACTTAATGTCCCATTAAATGTACAATTTTTTTTCCATCGTTGTCCACACAAAGATGTAATCTTTTGCGCGTAGACATAACAGCTGCTTCAGTCTCAGCTGTTGATATACTATTTATTGCGTTTATAATGCGCTAAAAGTGCGCAGGACACCCGTCATGTTGTAATATTATATATTTTCTTGTTTGTAAGGAAATATCTTTCAATAAAACAGGCAACTGATTTTCCAGAAAATCCAAATATGTTTCGCCATTTAAAGTTCTATCAAAAAAATATGGACCTACCATCTTTCCATCAACTATACTACACCAAACATTAAGACTCCAATTAAACGTAACCTCGTCTGTCTACAAAATCTTTGACATGATATGCGGTTGTTCTTCTAGCACACCTAACATCAATTGCAATAATCCAGCTTTGCATCAAAATCTCTCTCATGTAAAGCTTGGTGGAGAACTACATGATAAGGATGTAGTCTAAAAAACAGAACAACAAATATTGGTGAAAAAGAAGCCACTATGTTTACTAAAACTCAAAAAATCTTGAAAAATCCACAATTGTTTCACAAGATAAATCGTGCATAAGTATTCTTAAGAAACGGATAAAAGGATAAAAGCGACGTGTTGCCCTTTTTATTGGAATATTATAATAACAGTTGAATCTAAAGTTTAAAGGGAATTCCAAGTTTCTGACCTAAACGTTCACTTTATAATATTAAAAACCAACCTGTGATGTTTTCAAATCCTTAGAACAGTAGTTTTAGGTATGTTTAATTATATAGAGATTTGCCGACTACTTATAAGTGGATTCTGTTGAATTAAAGCAAGAACATTGATTGAATTATCTTCGGTCATACCTCTACTACGTCGTTTAAAATAAGGACGATGAAAACTACCAGTTTCTCTTAATCTTCTTGCCTTTCTTTTAAATACTTCTTTGCCATAATGTCTCTTGTCAGGATATCTTACGTCTTACAGAATATATACGTGACGCAATAGCGGCATTTTGGTGACATTCGAAATAAACTCCAATCATATTATACAATTCTGCATTTGATATACTCATCACGAATTATTGACTCATATATATATATATATATATATATATATATATATATATATATATATATATACAGGGTGAGTCACGCTCAACGGGACGGAGCCTACCGGGAAAACAGCTAAAGATATTAAAAATTTCTTTTGCAGGAATACGTAGGTTAGTACCGGCTACAAATTAAAATTTGTGAGATATATACAGGGTGTCCCAATATGGCGTAATGATATAAACTTATACTTTTTTAAATAGAACAACATATATTTCACTTTAATTTTGAATTCTACTGAACAAAATAATGTTACTTTATTCAACATTCCCTATACCTATTTTTGACCGGTTTCGATTTATTTGGGTTTTTCTGAAAATGTACTATTCGCGAAATTAATTAATTACACAATATCACATGAATTTTAATTAACGCCTTTTTGTCAGTTAATTGTCAAGTGTCCATGCTTTACATCAGAATAATTACCATTTGAAACTAATCTACAGAGTGTTCGCAATCTGAAGTGTCAATGCTGTACCATATTTTGTATAATTACTTTCTTAATTTAAATGAGACACCCTGTATTTTACTTTAACTTTGAATTCTAATTAAAAAAATAATATTACTTTATTAAACAATCCCTATACCTATCTTTGAGAATTTTCGATTTATTTGCGTTTTTTTTTGAAAATGCACTATGTATTCTTGAAATTAATTAATTTTTATCACTTTATTACATAAAGTTCTACTCTAACTTAAACAAAAACCCTGTATTTGAATGTTGTAACAATTATTATAATCAAACTATTATAAAATTTTATATTAATATCTAGTATCTTCAAATCTATTTGCATTATGTTACCTGGAACATTAAATGTCATTAATTATTACATATCTCGTTATTATAAAGAATGCCATGAAAAAACAAAAGGTACCTAGCTGTCAAACTAATTGTTAAACTATTAACTGTATTGCTTTCAATTAAATAGAAATGGCAGATTATTAAATTGAAGACCGAGTAAATATGATTTTAATACTGGGTGAATGTGATCAAAACAGTTTGTTAGCATCAAGAGTCTATGCTGAGAGATTTCCCTTAAAACGTCATCCTCGTAAAGAAGTATTTCACAGAGTCACAAGGTTTCGTGAAACTGGCAGTGTTGTTTATACTAAACGAAAATTAATAAATCCGATAACTGAAGATGAAAATACCGAATTAGAAGTTATTCAATCAGTTATTGAAAATCCAAATACAAGTACAAGGACGATGGCCTGGGAGATTGAGGTAAGCCAAACTAGTATATGCAGAATTCTTAAAAAATATCAATATCACCCATACCATATTCAAATGCATCAGCATTTGTATGGAACTGATTTTGAACGTAGGTTAGAATTTTGTTTATGGTTTCTAGACAAAACGGGAGCAGATCAACATTTTTTTGATAAAATTTTGTTCACTGATGAATCTACTTTCCATAATAATGGACTTGTGAACAGACATAACTTTCACTATTATAATACGGAAAATCAACATGAATATAGATGTACTGATCGACAAAACCGATGGTCCCTTAATGTATATGGTGGAATAATAGGAGAACATGTGATAGGACCGTATTTTTTTAATGGCCATTTAAATGGACAAAAGTTTTTAAGATTTCTACGAAGAGACTTTTGGACACTTTTGCAAAATATCCCTTTAAATATTAGAAGAACAATGTTTCTGCAGCTAGACGGTGCTCCAGCACATTACACGCGTAACGTTAGAGAATATTTAGACAGAAAATTTCCCGGAAAGTGGATAGGTAGGGGTAGTGCTGTCAATTGGTCCCCTAGATCACCTGGGTTAACATCAATGGACTTTTTTTTTGGGGATATATTAAAAGTTTGGTTTATCAAACTCCACCTACAACCGCTAAAGACATGAAAACGCATATTCGTAATGCGTTTGCAACAGTTACTCCAGAAATGCTAAGAAGAGTAAAACAAAATTTTGAACACAGAGTGAGGTTATGCATTGAAGAAAATGGACACCATTTTGAACATTTAATGTAATTTAATTTTTTTCTAGTGTGTTTTGTTTAACTTTATGTAATAAAGTGTAATTAATTAATTTCAAGAATAGTGCATTTTCAAAAAAACCCAAATTAATCGAAAATTATAAAGGATAGGTATAGGGATTGTTTAATAAAGTAATATTATTTTTTTGATTAGAATTCCAAATTAAAGTAAAATACAGGGTGTCCCATTTAAGTTAAGAAAGTAATTACACAAACTATTATACAGCATTGACACTTCGTATTGCGAACACTCTGTAGATT